CCCCCCCCCCCCAAGTAGGGGGAATCTGGGAAGGCAGAGAATTGGGTGCTGCACCTTTTCTCCTCGATTGGTGGATTATGTACCTATCTAGAACATAAGACTCCCAGGGCTGGAAGGAACCTCGGAGGTCTTTCATCCAACCAGCCCCCTACTCGAGGCAGGAGCCCTATACCATCCCAGCCAAGTGGTTGTCCAGTCTATGTTTAAAAACCTCCAGTGATGGAGCACTGGAAGGCTTCCTTCATGTCTCCCCCCTCCCCCAATCGTTCTTCTCTTCCTTAGGCTACTAGTCATACCTAGTTCCCTCACGCATTCATCCTCCTTGCCCACCTTGAGGGCATTTAGCTCCTCCTGCCCAGCCGATTGCAAAGGATCCGGGCATCTTGCAGCACTACTGGGTGAGCACAAAGCTCCTTTGGTACCAGGCGTTCCTGTCAGGAAGGAGAACCAGCTGGGCACCGCCGCAGGTGTGTTGTTCTGCAGCTGCTGGACCTTTCAAGGTTGCTGTTCCTCACACAAGAACAGCTGGGCAGGGATGATTCTTGCTGCCACCCAAGGCCCTCCCCAGGTGCTTGAGTGAAACACCTAGTACTTTAAACACTATTTCACAGCATGACAGTGTGAACATACAAACCGAAATGATAAGTAAGATTTATAAAGCCTTTACAATATATGCAGAGGAACCCAGAAGTGAATGAATTGGGATTTAATTAACAGGTAAGTTTGTCTAGGATTGTAACCTAAACATTAAATGACAAATATGTGCCAAGGAATTCAAAGTGGCAAGTAGCAAAGAGGCAACAGTTCTGCACAAAGGATCCACTGGGTCCCCTTTTTAGACAGCTGCCCCACAAACTCCATTTCATGAAAAATTCCAGCGCTGCAAAATGTACTCTGGGCTGGTTTTCTCCATTTGAGATCCCCAATTTTTCTTTTCTTGCACGCCATCCAGGCATCCTAGCAGCTCACTAAGAATCAACCAAGAAAAAGATCACTATCCATTTTAGAAAAAAAGAGAACCATGTAGAAACAAAGGAAATGAACTACAAATCCTGGCGGCCAGTTTGGAGTAATTGGATTGCAGCTGCTCAGTAAATCAATAAATGCAATATCAAGAGACAGCATTTCCATTTCAAACATAAGACAATCTAAACGCTGCAGAGCAAAGCCCCCCCCCCCCCCCCCCGGGCCGCCTTCCGGGATGAACAGGGCTCTTTAGCAAAGACGTTTGCCCTGCTGGCAGAAGGCAGATGAGACGAGCAGGACCGAGTCTTTGGGGCCAGGGGGTTCCAAAGCAGGGGTTGCCTTCGGGCAGAGTCTGGCAGGGTCCTCGCACGGAGCATGGAGATGGGGCGCAAAGCTGACAAGCAGGTTAAGACAGTTTCCCAGACACATGGACTTCAACTCCCAGAATTCCCCAACTAGCCGTATGCTGGCTGGGGAATTCTGGGAGCTGAAGTGCACTCTTAAAGTTGCCACGGCTGGGAAATGCTGAGAGCGATCAGTTGCAGCTGTGCTGGGATCTCTTTGGCCCCACCCAGGGAGGGCGAGTGCCATCAGTTGGCGGAGAAGCACTGTCACATTCACGCATTTGACAACATTTAGACATTCACGTGGCCCTGAGAACTTCACAGTACCGGTAGTACAGTTCAGAAATACATTGTAAGTAACAATAACC